TGAGTGTATGTATGTATGTATGTATTTCATGGTTTTGGGGAATGTGATTGCTTTCATGATTTCTTTTTCTGAAAATTCACTATTGCTACAGATTTTTGTATGTTGATTTTGAATTCTGGTATGTAATGTTTTCATTTTTTACCAATTCATCATGGTGTTGTCTGTGGATTTGTCATATATGTTGAGGTCCTGAAATCTTTCCATACCTAATTTGTTCAGGGCTTTTTATGATGAATCTAATCAAGTGCTTGCTCTGCATCTATCAAGAAGATAAAGAGATTTTTATTCTTCATTCTGTTTATATATTACACTTATTGACTTGCATATGTTGAACTGAGAAACTGATGTGTCTTCATTTTTGAGAAACCAGCCTCTAAACTCAGAGCAAAGCTTGTCTAAGGAAGGGAGTATGACCTTTGTCCTTGGAGAAACCCACAGAGTACTCCTAAGCACATACCCACCCTGCTGAGTTGTTTGTCTGTAAAAAACAGGAGAGATCTGTGTCCCTGACTCAGACTAAGTGAGGACCCATAGCAACTCCCCCTAGCAACCACCAATCAGCATGAGACAGGGAAAATACCTGGGATGCCAGATGACTCCCAGTAGTTTATGGTGGTTGATAACATGTTGGGAAACCATGTAGTTTAGCACATACACCCCTTGTGGCCTAAACCAATCATTTCAAAGGAATCCCCCTCTTACCCAACTTGTTCCCTCCAGTGAATGTGCTAATCAATGTTAAAAGTTGTTGTTTGATTTTCCTGAGGTATGGAATGATTCGCTGTGTGATGTTGTGATGCATACAGTATCCCCCCAAAACCTATAAAATCTCACTGAACAAAGGACCGGGACTCACTCCCTGGGACGGCTGCATTGGAAGGGTTGTGAGTCCAGGCTGGAGCTTGCAATAAAGACTCTTGTGTGATTTCATCGGATTCGGCTCCTGGAGGTCTATTGGGATCCCACGAATCTGGCATTACAGAACTCTCCTGCCATTTCTGCAATGAAACCGAGGCTGTTTGGATATAATTTTGGAGGATTTCTGTTGAGTAATTTTGCATTTATGTTTATCAGGGATATTGGTTTATAATTTGTTACTGTTGTGTTCTTGTCAGGTTTTGGTAACAGTGTAATGATGGCCTCCTTGAATAAATTTGGAAGGGTCTCCTCCTTTCCAATTCTATGAAATAGTTTGAGAAGCATTAGTTATTTAAAAGTTTGGTAAAATTCAGCAGCAAAGCCATCTGGTCCTGAGCTTTTCTTAGTGGGGAATTTTTTTTTATTACTGATTCAATCTCATTACTTGTTATTGGTATATTCAGGCTTTTTTATATCCTTGTGGCTTAATTTTGGCAGGTCATATGTGCACAGGGTCCCCTCTCTCCTCTCCCCTTTGGCTTCCCTTCTTCCCCTCCCCCTTCCTGTCCCTTTATTTAGTCCCTGAATTCTTCTGGTAAGCACATTCTATGGCACCAGCTCCTGACTTAATTCTACAAGCTTCGAACTTAGTTTGCCATGAAATATAAAAACATAATTCGAGAAAGTAAAAAAGTAAGATTTGTGACATTTTGAAACACTATGCTCAGTCCTTCCCTCTCTGCTCTCTGCTTTCTCAAAACCCTGTGGGTGCCCTGGAACAAATCCGCTATCTGCTGGTCACATGCGGAGTTGCAACCTCCTCTTAGAAATGCGCTTTGCAGATAGAACCACATAGTGCCATAGGAGGCGGCTAATCCTGGTTTTTTTCTTTTTTTTTCCTCTTTTTTAAAAAATTTTTTTAAAAATTAAGCCATTTTTTTCCCTTTAAATTTGGACCATCTTCTTATTTCCAGTGTGATAATATCTCTGAATTTCTGGAAAGCATATTTCTTTGATTTCTCTTGCAAATACATTTTTCTGACCTACAGAACAGTTGGTCATCTTGGGGAGACCAGAATGATTTCTTTCCTTTGAGATAATACTGCAGTCTAAAATGCTGGATTGAGGCTGACATTACAGGGTCAGTAAGGAATGGAAGCAGATCCTAGAAGGGGTTCAGGTTAAACTGGTATTTCAACAATATCAATTCATTACCTTTCCTGCAATGAAACCGAGGCTGTTTGGATATAATTTTGGAGGATTTCTGTTGAGTATTTTGCATTAATGTTTATCAGGGTTATTGGCTTATAATTTGGTTTACAAATTGTTCAAGTCCTATAGACATAGAAATGAGTCACTCATTTTGTAAGTACAAATTCTTTGGGGTCCTGGGTGGAGGGAATGTAAAAATATTAACACACAGTGGTTCTCTTAAATCCCCAAGTGAGGCACCTGCATTGGTTCGCCAGTCACTGGTCTGTGTTTCTTCTGTTTGTGTCTTTTCCTAGGAACTTCAATCTTGTAGGCTGAAACATGCAGTAAAATCAGTTTTCTGTAATTTTATCATTTTCAAAAATAATGGATGATAATTAATGATTGTTTTATATTCTTGTAACTTTCTCATAAAAGTAAATTTAAAAATAAAGTTAGAAGAATTAACCCTTGGTTTGTCAGCCACTTTTTGAATTATAAAAGAGTGATGGATCCAACAGTGCAAAGAGCTCTTTGGCTTAGAGAACTAAGACTTTCACCATCTCTGGGATTAGTGTTGTTTTCTTATTCTCATTTCTTACCTCCTTTCTTGTTTGTCTTCCTTCTTTTCAAGAAAACCCTCAACTACCAATACCGACACTTGGTATATAAATAGATATTTTTGTTTCACTACTATATTCCCACCATATCCTTTAAGAATACTTCAATATGAGCAGGGTGTATATTACTCCAGTGTTCAAAATAAGGAAATTGAGACCCTAGGTTTATCCAAAGAAAATCATGCCCAAGTTCATAGCAAATTTAGAATTAAAATCCAAGCCATCCTAAGCTCAGGGCTTTCTTGTCATCTACTGGCTGAGGGAGTCATGAAAATAGGTCACACATGACAGCAGCTTTTAAAGGAAGAAACAACTCTAGTAGTGAATCCAGACAGGAAGAGAAGACCTCAAAGGCCCAGAGAGTGAGAAGGTCTCTGCTGCCCTCTGGTGTTCACATAGATGATCGACTCCTTATTGCTCTCCTCTTAAGAATCTTGCTTTTCTGGTAACAATACTATGGACATTTGTTTTGCCTTTCCCAGATGTGGATTCTAATCAGAATGGCAAGGATATTGTGTCTTTTTTTCCTCTTCTACATACCATCAATGTCCCTACCCAGAATATCCACCCGTAACAACTAGCATAATGCAAGACACAGTTCTTATTTCAACACTGGTAGACCTCAGAGCAAGATGTGAATGATTTGTGAGGAAAAATGCACAGAAGCTTAAATGGAGCTAAATTAAGTTAAGCATCCAGTTTGCTCCAATGTGACTGACCACAAACAAAAATTCAAAAATGAATATTATACTGACTCCTAGAAGAATCCTAATATTGTTATCATCAAGAGGACCCCCATGTTTATGGGTACTCTACTGTCATGCTACAAACTCAGATGTGAAAAAAATTAATGTTTGTCTTATCTTATTACTGATACCAATTTTTATATTAAGCACTATGATTTCTTCACTCTGGAGTTAATCCAGTAATTTCCAAATAAATTCAGTGGTTTTCACAACACTAATATAAAAACAGTCCCTCATTTCTGCCCAGAGTTACTTCTAAGTTTTGGAGTAGAGGTGGTGCAGGTTTGGTGTGTGAGGCCCTTCTCAAAGTTCCAGCACTGACCCCCACTGCATGTCATGGTCACCTTGTGCTCCCTGGTTGTTGCTGTCATCACCAAATATTGGTGGAAATGACTGCTGTTCCATGGTGCCATGTTCTTGACTTTCCATGTTGCATTTCAGGCAGAAAACTTTCATTCCAGTATCGGAGTCTCCCTGGGCCTTCCTCTTCCTGTCTTATGTTCCCTCTGCTGCTCCTCTTAGGGGTCATTGCCTGAAGGAAGTCTACAGGCATTGCTGCCACCTGGGAGCCAGAGGCCAAGTGAGGAGCAAGCCCCTCTACTCCAACTGAATGTTCAAACAGGAAACCCTTATTTCTCACTGATGCTTATTTATTTCTTTATTCTAAAAATCCTTCATCCTCCACCATGAGAAATTTCCTTGTCTATACTGAATGAGGGAGGAGGAGAATGAAAAGAGTAGCCCCATGTGAGGTGTCCCAAATGGGGACTGATCATAATATGGGCAGGAAAGAAACTTCAGGAAAAATAAGCCCCAAACCCTATCATGGTGCTGAGTATGCTATTACATTGAAATGAAAATCTCAAATTGAACATTATTCTGGAGGACTCTTGAAACCCTGAGAATGTATCTAAGAGACTCGTAAATATTGAATAAAATAAACGTAAGGGGAATGTCTGGCTGAAACAAGAGCACAAAACAAAGGTGCCTAGAAGTTCTATCATCACACTCCTTGTGCCCAAACATTATGTTGAGAAGTTTATCAAATTTCTCTGGTAATTATTTGAGAGTGGCAAAACCCTTTATTATTCAGAAAACAGAGACAAAGAATTGAAGCAAACATAGCAGTAAAGTAGCCCACATGGGACCTTCGCGGGTGCTCTGGTTGGGAAGAAGGTCCTTCCTGTCTCTGCGACTGTTTTCTCCTCAGTAGAAATGACAGGTGGGATATTTGCCAAGCAGTCTTGCTTCCAGCTCTGCAGGCTCATGGGTGCCATGTTCTAGTGGAAATTTGGTCCCAGGTGGGGAATCTTTGACATGTGGCAGGAGGAGGGCAGGTGAGGAGACACTGTATGAAGACCTTACAGATGCTGGCCAGCAGGTCTACGTGAGGACCTTACTGGAGATGGCACATATGAGTGTGGAACTGTGACTCATCATGAATCCCTGGCTTTCTGGGGAGGATGAGGAAGGCCAATGTCACAGCTGCCTCTGCAGGTCTAAAGAACTCGCAACTGAACCCAGGCAAAGTCCACTTGTCTTCTGAGTTTCACTTTTGAGAGTATTGCAGCTAGTGGGAGGTGAACATGCTATTCTGACTGAAGTCTCATTTTCAGAGTGAGCCTCAGGGATTTGGTTTTGCCTCTAGCTTGGCAGAAGTAAGCCTTCCTTCACTCAAAGCCTCAGGGAACCAAGGGCTACCCCCACCCTCTCTGGCTGCCCCATAGTTCTGTCTCCAATTAGCACATCCAAGAGCTCTGACCAGTCTTTGGACACCTGCTATGTGAATGAAGGATACATCTGAGAACGAGTGAGGAGAAGACCCAGCAGCCCCTGATTTCATCTCCAAGGAGAGACAGAGACAAGTAAGTGATGGAGTCCCTAGTGAGGGACAGCTATGGGAATTTGGGAGAGTCAACCAGGAGAAGGAGGTGGGGCATTCATGCAGTCAGCGTCCCGTTGGGAAACTCTGTCCTGGTTATGATCCCTCTCACTGTATTTTATATCAATCTCCCACTGTCGTTTTCAAAGTGCCATCACAGTCTACCTGATCCTCACAGTGACCCTGTGAAGCAGCTGGGTGGAGGGCGCTAGAATAAAATCACAAAACCAAGATCATTCTGTACCTTCATCAGTATGCTGTTGGGCTTGTGTCTCTGAGCCATGATTTCCTTGTCTGTCACATGGTGATGACATAGCTGGAGAAAATATTAGGAACACTGGTCTCCACCGAAGAGGAGAGAAAGTAGAAGTTCAAGAAGGTAAACTGAGATGCCCAAGGTCACAAAAATAGAAACAAAGTCACCTTGTCCTCTAGAACTCTTATTTTTATTTTTCCTTCTCTATACAATTGTGTTGTTTCAACATCTGACAAACTACTATTGCTTTTAAGCTTTATGTAGACATATGAGCTTCAAACTTTATTAACTGAACTAATTATTATCAGTTAATTAAAAACCTTAAACTGACCAAAACTGTGCCTACTTCGGTGTATTAAACATTTAAGACATTTTAGTAGGAAAAAAAAAACTCTAAAGACACAATATGTAGTAATTTGTCATTTTCTTTGACATGAACAGTGTAGGCATAGATCTTGGAATTTAGAATTGTTTTTCACCTAATACCTAAACACAAACTACTACTTATCATTGCTGCTTAACACTTATATTTCATGCAGAAAATTAAATGAGTTTCTAAAGAATTTGAGGACACCAAAGTTTATCACATTTATCATCAATAGTAGTTTCAGAAGATCCTTGGTCAACATTTTAGTAGTAGAGATGTTGAAAACTTATAATTAAACCATTTTAATTTAAAGATTACTATTTAAATCTAGTTTTTTTAATCTTCCAAAGAATGTGTCAAAGACTTTTAACATACTGACAGCACATAGTCTGAGGCAGGGGTTTTCCCTGGCATTACTAACATTCTGGGATGAATAATTCTTTGCTATAGGGTCTGTCCTGCACAGTATAGGATGCTCAGTAGAATCTCTGGCTTCTTATTTTGTGTCCCCTCCCCTAAGTTAGGACTCCCCAAAAATGTTCCCAGACATTGCAAAAATGCCTCTAAGGGTAAAGCTTCTCTTTTCCTTATTGAGACCTGGTACAAAATAGTTATTCTTTCTTTTATTCCCTCTCACAAAATCCATCCTTGAGCACAAGGGAAGGTTAAGATGAATTTTCACAATGTTTTTCAAAACCTTCCTTGATGGGAACAAGCAATTCCTCTACAGTACATTTGTAGCTTCCCCTCCTTTCTTTAACATAAGATGTAAAGAAATACAAACCGATCAAGAGCTCTGTAATAAGTGTGGACTCTTCTTAGTTCACAGGACTGAGAGATAGTGCTTGGCACGAGCTTGGTGGGCCTTTCTTTGCTCCTGTTTGCAACAAACAAACAAACAAAAAACAAAAACAAAAACAAACCCCCATGTTTTTACTTTTCATAAGAGGAACCGAGGAAGTAGTCCCAAGACCCTTCAACCCCAGGAGAAGTGAGCTGGGCTTCCCACGGAATCCTGGCCACCTGTGCTGTCTTCGGTACTCGGTCTCATTTTTATACAGATACATTAGTGCTCTTTTATATGTATTGTGACTGGGCTCATATTAGTTTGCTTAGAGATGTCTTAGATGAAAGTACACATTTTTGAAAGCAAATAGAATAATATTAGCTTAATAATAATCTCCTGAATCTCAATTTATAATATTTATTTCAGACTGTTGATTTTTTCATCTTGCCCCATAAAATTTTACTAGCATTAGTTTCTGGGGAAAAGGGATCAGTGAGTGACTCAATGTTGCTCCAGAGCTGATTCTTCTGCCTAGTGTGAGGCAAGTTTTTCTTTCAATAAAATACTTGATGCATCAGATATAATGCCTTATGTGTCTTTCACTCTGAATTTTTCATTTTTTCACACTCACACCATCTTTGTCCTGGTAAGTTTTAAATTTTTTAGCTATGTACAGGATTTTTATCATGCTGGTACAATGGGCTTGTTGGGTTTGCTGATCTCTGCCAGTTAGGCTTTATTTTATTCATTCATACATGTCTTCAAGACTATTCTAAATGGCCACTAAGGTCATTTCCTTGACCATCTTCTCTGGTAGTACCATTTCCACAAGCATTCCTTCACTTTCCAAGGCCCCTGTGCTCCTGAGTTCTGTGAATGGTGGTACTGAATGTTGGCTTCCTGGTAGCAACTTGGGGACACAGAGCCTTCCGTCTTTCCTCCGCATCTAGGAAACTAGTGATGAAGGATTTTTCATGAGGGGTCAGGAAGAGGACAAGAAAAAATATCTGAATCCTGCTCTATAATTTCTGCATAATCAATGATAGACCAAGGAGTTTTTTTTTGTTGTTGTTGTTGTAGCTTTTTTGTAATATTATATCTCTTTAGCTCAAGACTGCCTTTCATTTCAATCAGAAACCTTCTGCCTTCAAGCCTAAGAAATAGCTTAAAGTGAAATACATTAGGGAAGGAGATCAGGTTTGATCAAGAACTGCAGAGAAATGGAGCCAAACCACTTCACTCTTTCATTGTGAAGAGGTTGATGGTGACTCTTGGCTAAGATGGCATAGCCACTGGAAACTGCAGAGCCTGCCAGGTGTATCACAGCTTGCTTACTACATTCATACTTTTCCTGTGTTTGCTTCAGGGACAATGGTGGATCTTCCAGGATATAGTCTGTCGAGTATGATTGCCTCCTTCTTATTCATCCTGCTGACAATGAAGAAATCAGGTAGGATCCCCTTCTTCCCTTTAATGTAACTTCCCAGTGATCCAGTCCAGGTACAGAGTGTGCAATTCAAAAGGACTAGTAGAGTATTCAAGAGTGCAGATCCATCCCAGCAGCTTGGGAGGCTGAGGCAGGAGGATTGTGAGTTCAAAGCCAGTCTCAGCAACTTAGGGAGGCCCTGAGCAATTCAACAAGACCCTGTCTCTAAATAAAATATAAGAAATGGCTGGGAATGTGGCTCATGGTTAAGCACCCCTGGGTTCAATTACTGGTGCCAAAAAAAAAGTGTGCAGATTCATAATGCAAGACCTGTGTTCCAAAAAGGGCTTCCCATTCCCAGCTGTGTCATCTTTGAAAAGTGGCTCAAGTACCTTATGCTTTTGTTCTTCATCTGTAGCATGAGAATAACCACAGTACCTACGCTTCCTAGGGTAGCACAGGCTTTGGAAGTCCCTGAAGCCACACAGAGAAAGCACTTGGATCAGTGGCTGGAAAACACTGAATCATTTATCTATTCTCTTACTACCATGTGTGACAGAGCTTTGGGAACAAGAAAAACAGCTGCTTTAACCATACATTATGTGGCATAAAAACTTATAAATAAGAAGCTAGAAAAGACTTCCAAGAAATGGACTTGGAAAATTCAGGAGCTGAATTTTATCAATCAAAGTGTGCCTTGAAAAGAATTAGGAAAATTCAATGTGGGAGGGAAATATCACAACTCCAAGGAAAACTGCAGCCAGGTGAGGTAGAGAAGAACACTGGACGGGGAAACACAGGCTGCAGATTCAACACAGAGGAAGTTGTGTGATGTGATGAAGCTGCTGTCCCCTCTCTGCAGTTTCCTGACCTATAAAAGAGGTCAATCAGAGGGCTGACTTTGTATCTCCACTCCATCAATGAAGGGTGCAAACAGATCTCTATTTAAGTTTGATAGTGACTTTTTGAATTTGATTTTTTTAGTTATATATGACAGTTACTCTATTTTGACATATTTATAAAAACATAGAGTATATCTTATTCTAACTAGGATCCCAGTCTTGTGGATGTATACCATGTTGAGATTCACTGTACTGTATTTATATATGTTCATAAGAAAATTATGTCAGATTCATTCCACTGTCTTTTCTGTTCTCATCCCAACACCCTTCCTTTCATTCCCCTTTGTCTAATCCATTGAACTTCTCTTTTTTTCCTTCCTCTCCCCTTGTTCTGGGTTAATATCACATATCAGAGAGACGATTTGACCTTTGGTTTTTTGGGATTGGCTTATTTCACTTACTGTGATAATCTCCAGGTCCTTCCATTTGCCAGCAAATGCCACAATTTCATTCTTCTTTATGCTCAGTAATATTCCATGGTGTGTGTGTGTGTGTGTGTGTGTGTGTGTGTGTGTGACATTTTCTTTATCCATTCATCTGTTGAAGGGCACCTAGGTTAGTTCCATAGCCTAGTTATTGTGAATTGAGCTGCTATAAATATTGATGTGGCTACATCACTGTAACACACTGATTTTAACTCCTTTGGATATATAATGAGGAATTAGTTATAACCAGGTCAAATGGTGATTCCACTAGTAGTTTTTTTGATGAATCTCCATACTACTTTCCAGAATATTGCACCAATTTATAGTCCCACCAGCAATGTATGAATATACCCTTATTCCCACCTCCTCACAACATTGATTGTTACTTGTATTCTTGATAATTGCCATTCTGACTGGAGTGAGATGAAATCTCAGTGTAGTTTTAATTTGCATTTTTCTAATTGCTAGAGATATTGAATTTTTTTTTACATATCTGTTGACTGTTCATATTTCTTCTTTTTTTAAATTTTTTATTGTTGGCTGTTCAAAACATTACATAATTCTTGATATATCATATTTCACACTTTGATTCAAGTGGGTTATGAGCTCCCATTTTTACCCCATATACAGATTGCAGAATCACATCAGTTACACATCCATTGATTTACATATTGCCATACTAGTGTCTGTTGTGTTCTGCTGCCTTTCCTATCCTCTACTATCCCCCCCTCCCCTCCCCTCCCCTCGCCTCTTCTCTCTCTGCCCCCTCTACTGACATTCATTTGTCCCCCTTGTATTATTTTTCCCTTTCCCCTCACTTCCTCTTGTATGTACTTTTGTATAACTCTGAGGGTCTCCTTCCATTTCTTCTTTTGAAAAAGGTCTGTTCAGTTCCTTTGCCATTTATTTGTTGTTTTTTTGTTTGTTTTTGTTTTGTTTTGTTTAGTTTTTGGTGTTAAGCTTTTTGAGTTCTTTGTATATTCTGGAAATTAATGCCTTATCTGAAGTGTACATAGCAAAAATTGTCTCCCATTCTGTAGGTTCTCTCTACATACTCTTAATTGTTTCCTTTGCTATAAAGAAGCTTTTTAGTTTGATTACCATCCCATATACTGACTATCAATTTTATTACTTGTGCTTTAGAAGTATTGTTGATGAAGTCAGTTCCTAAGCCACTATGTTGGAGTATTTGGCCTATATTTTCTTCTGTTAGGTATAAGTTTTCTGGTCTAATACTTAGGTTTTTGATCCACATTGGGTTGGGTTTTCTGCAGTGTGAGAGACAGGGGTTAAATTTCATTCTACTACATATAGATTTCCAGTTTTCCCAGCACCATTTGTTGAAAAGTTTGTCATTTCTCCAATGCATCTTTTTGGTGCCTTTGTCTAGTATGAAATAAATGTATTTATGTGGATTTGTCTCTGTGTCTTCTGTTCTTTTCCATCAGTCTTCATGTCTGTTTGGGTGCCAATTCCATGCTATTTTTTGTTACTATAGCTCTGTAGAATAATTGTTTTTTAAGAAATATCAAACTGTATTTCACTTCAAATATGGATTTTAAATAGGCAAATGATTTCAGAGAAAGGTTACTTTGCACCATATACAAATGGAGAATGTGTTAGAAAATAATAATAAACTTATTATGGAGATAAAAAAAAACATTTTTTTACACATATAGAGCACAATTTTTCATATCTCTGGCTATACACAAAGTAGAGTCACACCATTTGTGTCTTCACACATGTACTTAGGGTAATGATGTCCATCTCATTCCACCATCTTTCCTACCCCTATGCCCCTCCCTTCCCCTCCCTCCCCTTTGTTCTATCTCGAATTAGTATGATTCTCCCATGCTCACCTCCCAACCCCATTATGAATCAGCATTCTTATATCAGAGAAAACATTTGGCATTTGATTTTCTGGGGTTGGCTAACTTCATTTAGCAATATCTTCTTCAACTCCATTCATTTACCTGCAAATGCCATGATTTTATTCTCTTCTATTGCTGAGCAATATTCCATTATATATATATATATATATATATATATATATATATATATATATATATATGCTCACATTTTCTTTATCCATCCATCTACTAAAGGGAATCTAGTTTGGTTCCATAGTTTAGCTATTGTGAATTGTGCTGGAATAAACATTAATATGGTTGTGTCCCTGTAGTATGCTGTTTTTAAGTCCTTTGTGTACAGATCAAGGAGAGGGATAGCTAGGTCAAATGGTGGTTCCATTCCCAGATTTCCAATGAATCTCCCCACTGCTTTCCAGATTAAGTGCACCAATTTGCAGTCCACCAGCAATGTATGAGTGTACCTTTTTCCCCACATCCTCACCAACCTTATTGTTGTTTGTGATCTTAATAGCTTCCATTCTGACTGGAGTGAGATGAAATCTTAGAGCAGTTTTGATTTTCATTTCTCTAATTACAAGAGTTGTTATACATTTTTTATATATTTTTTGATTAATTGAATATCCTCTTCTAAGAAGTGTCTGTTTAGTTCCTTGGTCCATTTATCGATTGGGTTATTTATTTATTTGGTGCTTAGCTTTTTGAGTTCTTTATATATCCTAGAGATTAGTACTCTATCTGATGTGCAAGTGGTAAAAATTTGCTCCCCAAATGTAGGCTGTCTATTCATCTTACTGATTATTTTGCTGAAAAGAAGCTTTTTGGTTCGAATTCATTCCATTTATTGATTCTTGATTTGAATTCTTGCGCTATAAGAGTCTTATTAAGGAAGTTGACATGATGAAGAATTGGGACTACTTTTTTACCCTATTAATAGATGCAGGACCTCTGATTTAATTACTAGGTCCTTGATCCTCTTTGAGTTGAGTTTTGTGCATGGTGAGAGATAGGAGTTTAATTTCATTTTGTTGCATGTGGATTTTCAGTTTTCCCAGCATCATTTGTTGAAGAGGCTATCTTTTCTCTAATGCATGTTTTTAATGCCTTTGTTTAATATAAGATAATCATCATTTTGTGGGTTAGTCTCTGTGTCTTCTATTCTGTAACGTTGGTCCACCAGTCTATTTTGGTGCCAATACCATGCTGTTTTTGTTACTATTGCTCTGTAGTATAGTTTTAAGTTCTGGTATAGGGATTCCATCTGCTTCACTCTTTCTGCTAAGGATTGCTTTAACTATTCTGGGTCTCTTATTTTTCCAGATGAATTTCATGATTTTTTTTTTCTATTTCTATGAGGAATGTCATTGAGATTTTGATTGGAATTGCATTAAATCTGTATAGTGCTTTTGGTAGTATGGTCATTTTGACAATATTAATTCTGCCTATCAAAGAACAAGGGAAATATTTCCATCTTTAATTTCTTTCTTTAGTATTCTGTAGTTTTTCATTAAGTTGATTCCCAAGTATTTTTTGAGGCTATTATAAATGGGGTAGTTTTTCTCATTTCCCTTTCAGAGTATTTGTCACTGATATACAGACATGCCTTTCATTTATGGTGTTGATTTTATATCCTGCTACTTGGCTGAATTCATTTACTAGTTCTAGAAGTTTTCTGATGGAATTTTTTGGGTCTTCTATGTATAGAATCATATTGTCAGCAAATAGTTCTAATTTGAGTTGTTCTTTTCCTATTCATATCCTTTTAATTTCTTTCATCTGTCTAATTGCTCTGGCCAGTGTTTCAAGAACTATGTTCCATAGAAGTGGTG